CTGAAAAACGAGCTACAACTAAAGTAAAAAAGATCTCACCAGTCTGTCAAATTTTACGGAATTTCACCGAAGCAAATGCGATAAATAGACTATCGAAAACACTGACATTTTCATTTGAGAGAGCGCATATTACTAAAACTTTTTTCCTCAGCACGCGTGCAGTCGTAAAAGGGAGCGACCCGTATAAAACGTACAGATATTGTGCGAGTTCGGTAATATTTTTCAAACATACGAGCAATTAGTTAAATGTCCACAAGCATGAATGACAGTAAAACGCCTATTATACCCAAAAACTAACGACTAAAACACTAATCGTTCGCCGTCATCGTCATGTAAGTCAAGATGTGCAATTCTTGATCAAAGACTCGTTATTTGTACATGTAATTACTTACCTACCACAATGTAAAATACTGGTTTAACTGATAATTTTTGTCATTCAATAAAGTTATTATCATTATTATTACGTTTTATGTTCATGTGCATAATTCTAGTGATCTACTTAGCGACATTATTATTAATATTCAAAAAATAGACAAAATATTTCCATCTGCTTTATTATTGGTCTATTCTAGCCTACTTGGTGTTTAAATCCTTGCTACAGTATCTGTCATTTTTCGGCTCATTAAATAATTGACTTATCTGTTTTTACTGTATTTTTTTTTTAGTTTTGTGGACCATTATGGCCAGTGAGTGTGCTATTCTCAAATCCACAGCTTTCTGGAATAGATATTTCACTGATTTTTAGAATTATTTCAGCTAGTCAGATTAGAAGTACATTTCGTCTTATGACAGACTTTAACTGAAAGCGGAACCTTAAATTTATATGTAACATTACCTAATTAGTTAATAAATCATTATTGTAAATTAACCAGTATAGGTAATCGTGGGTACACGAATACCGCTGATTGATTATTGAAACTATGAGTGATATTTGAAAATTCTCTCATAATTGCACTAACCTTTAGGAGAGTTGAATTTGAAAGAATTTTCAGATATCACGAGTAGTGTAAATCCTTAGTTCTTTTGAGCCTTCACACGATTACTTATTTATTGTATGACTAAGAAAATTATAAACGCGCGTGTGTTCATTTGCACTGCAGTACATTTTATAATTAACAAGAAAATCGCCTGCTCTCAGGCAATCACAGTGAAGTCATTTTCTCAGTTACGGTATATCATAGATAAACTGATTAATTAATGATTTTTCAAATTATTTCCTAAAATCATTCGTTTCATTTTGGTTTAGCCAATTTACAGATTTCAAAATCTGTAATAATTTTATTTGTTTGGTATTTGAGGCGAACATAACAGCGAGGCAATCAAACCTTAAAATTTTCTAATGTTAAGCATGCGTCTACAGTTGTCTTTGTATTAGTATAGGTAATCATACGGTTTCGAGTCCAATTTGGAATTGATTTGCACGACTGAGTTTTTCAAAAACTGAAATTGCACGTGCCGAGCTCGGAGCTTTTTGAAAAACTCACAAGTGCAAATGAATTTCAAATTGATCGAGAAAAACCGTATGATTACTTATTAATAATATAAACATGAAAAAATTCGCTTGGAGGAAGTGCCGGAGGATCTTTCTTGAAGCCATTTTTTCTCATTCGAGAAAACTTTTTTCAAAGTTTCATCACAAAATTTTCCTCATCATTTTACGTGCTATCATTGGCTAAGAAAATTTCCTATTGTCTTTCGCCCAATCAGGATCCAGAATTACGATGTGTAATTTGCAATGGTGTTACACTTTTTGCACTGGTGTTACACTTAAATTGCACTGCTCTCAGCCAATCAGAATCGAGTATTTTTTCATGTATTATTTATGTAAAAAATTTCGTGTGGAATAAAACTTCTATGTATCACTTATCATCTGTTTCCTTAATCTTATTACGCTTTAAAGCATTAAGTGGCCAAGTCAAAGGATTATTGCTTTTCATCATAAGCATACATCAAGCGATCATGGAATTGCATCTTGGAAAACTTGTTTGAGGATGGAAGTGAACGCCAACTGGTGTGACTAACCAGTCCCAACCCTACTAGGGTGGTAGTCCATACCACAGTTTAATTTCATATAACCCGTTGAATCTCTTGAAAAATTATGTAAATTTCTAGCCTCTTTAAAATGTGTGACTGTTGGTAATTACACCAATGATCAGTGGCAGATCTACGGAAGGGGTCCGGTCCACCCNGTATTTGCCAGTCAAATAAGTGGACACTTGTTACATTTTACGGTAGCATGGTTAGTGTAGCGCTATGCATCGTGCGGGATGAAAACCAATAAAAGAATGCAGTAGAGGATCTGGGGGGGCGCCCCCCCCTTAGTTTGGGTAAAAAAAAAACTGAAGAAATCACAGAAGGAAGTATAGCCGGCAGGGCAGGCAAAACAAAACCGCCGCCCCCTTAGCTCAAGGTCTGGATCCGCCACTGGAATGATTACATCACTCCGTAGTAAAATACTAAATAATTCAAAGCTCCATCGAGTTAATAAACGAACATTAAATACGTAAATTTAACTTTAGCAGATTACTAAAGTAAAGGGATTGCACAATGATCATTCAATTGTTAATAAAGTCATGTTCCCTTGGCTGTAGTACCCACTAGATTGCTTTCTTAGTGTCTACTAGCACCAGGTCATTGTCACAAATTGAATATCGACATGAAATGACTCTAGAGCGAATCATGATCTAAAAAATCCTCCATTTTCCCAACTTTCAGAACAAAAATATGGGACATCATAGAATCTACGTTAGACGTAAAAGTGATCATATTGCTAAACTCTTCAGTGTTTAAAGAAATGGAAAACATGTTTTTGCGTTTCTGAAGACTTAACAGAAAGAAAACACGATGATAGATGCGAATACTGGAAAAAAGACCTGAAAAAATTTTCAGGCTTTGGAATTCGCATACTTGAGCCGAGTATTAGGTCCACTGAACATAAAGGGCCAACCCACACACGACTGCTCTCATGTGGCTTTGATAGCTCAGTTGGGAGAGCATTGCACCGGTAACGCAAAGGTCGTGGGTTCGTATCCCGTTCAAAGCCTGAAATTTTTTTCAGGTCTTTTTTCTAGTAGTGTTATGGCTGCATTCGCATCCATCATCACGTCTACATTTAATTTCTACTGTTGGACATTTTTTACTATAGAAATACGATTGGAAGTTTGGTAGAAGGCTAAAACACTGTGGGAACAAAACGCCAAGCAATTCTTTTCACAGCTTTTCTCAATAAAAACACACAGAGAAAATATTTTTCTATTGTTTCTTTCTGTTTTTCCAAGGAAAAGAAATCGTGCTCATCCTGTGCCAGTGCTCGATTTGTGTTTCTAACAAGTTATATAGGTAAAGATTTCAGCGTACACTTTCTAACACGGTGTTTTCTAAACTTTCATAGTAATTCATACCGTTTTCTAATTTTCACCTCGGAAGAACATGTAATTAAATCACGAGGTATATATAACAGTTATGCAATACTTGTTACCTCGAAAAACGGTGATCACCTGGTTAGAATAGGCTGGGTTAAAGTGTTAATGACCTCTTACCGAATTTGTCAGCAAATCAATTACTAATATTATCTCGCTTTGTTATCTCATCCGTTGGAGGTAATGATTCGAATCGCAACTTCAAATTTACGACCCCTACACCGATCTGCATCACCATTTTTTTTTCTCCAAATACTTTAATTTGGTCACAAGGTAATGCAAAAAACCATCCACAAGTCCCGAATCAGCAAACTATAAATATAGTGCTCAATATTTGATTCAATAATTTGAAATTACGCCACTAAAATCTCCGAAAGATATGTAATGATTTGAAAAAATGGTATCAGATCTCTCTGTGTGATTTAATTTACCACGCCTACTACTTCAAAACCACTACTTTATATTTAACATTTATCATATTACAAGCTTCATTTCGTTTTTTTCTTTCATCAAAGATATACTACACCTCCACCTTTTTAGTTGATACCAGTGCATGATTTATAAAATACTGATTATATCTTTATTTGTGGTATATAGATTACGCATGTGGACGCTAGATTCATGGTTGTCAATTTAACAACAATTGGTTCGTGCTTACCATACGTCTATTTTGAGAGCATGAGAAAAGTTCAAGAGTTGCTCGAGATGCAGCCGAAAGCTAATTTATTTTCCCTCTGGAGTGTTGGTTGAACTTCTGCCCGACAGAATTTTTTGCTGTTGAGTGTACAATAAAGTTTCAAATCGTGATCACTGCAGTCGGTGTTGTTGTCGTCTTTGTAATGTTTTGTGGGGCTACAAATTCCACACCAATAGGAACTTTAAAGCATCTTTACTATTGCTCTCTATTTTGGAAATTTATGAAAGAGTTTTTGGTTAGAGGGAGAGAATTGCGAGCGAAAAATTGTGCTTAATGGTGATGGTAGTTTCACTCGTTGTTTTCCGCTCAGCTCTTTTTTTTATATATATATATATATATCATGTGGATTTCCTGGCTGTATTATGATTTGAAATACAATTACTCTACTCCTGGGATGAGCGAAAGATCTAATCTTACTATTTCTTTTAGCTTTCTGCAGTAGCTGATAAACGAAGATTACAACGAAGATGTACACAGCTAATATCATTGTTGGAAAATGGCAAAGAACACGTACAGCCATTTCACATATCATTAATTCTTAAATTTTACCGTAATTTTCCAAAAGCGAAGTGATCACATGAAATGTGTAGAAGCTTATCTGTCACTATTATCTGCAAAAATATGAACAATTAAAAACGTCCAAACGGAAGAGAATTATATTGTTTACAAACTTCATAATCTGATTTCCCAACTAATCATGTTTGTTAATTAATATTGTAGGTTATTCCAGTGAAGGTATTGTTTTGAGTTATTTCGAGACTTTTTGCAATACTAATAACTGTGCTGCTCGGGGATATTCTAGGGGTTATCGCAACTGCCGTACAGAAACGTGAAAATGGAAGGTATTGCTCAAAAAAATATTCCCGAGTAGTCATTTCATAAAACAGCCATTATATAAAAGAATTCAGATTACCAACGGTGATATCAAAGCCTTCACAGATCTAATGATGAAATATTGCTTTGTGTTTAGGAAGATTAATGACTTACTGCAATGCAGGTTTCTCCTAAAAGACAACGGGTAATGGCTTCGGTATTGTTTTCATCCATTAATCGTTCCTTCTGAATATCGAGAGTGTTGAAAACACCAGTTTCCTGGCACTTGAATTGTACGGTATAAAACTCAGCATTATATACCTGCTGTTCATTGTTCATCATCTCCTTGGTGTTCTTTGATAGAAACTCAAAAATGAACTCTACAAAGATCTCTGCTTTTCTCGTGCTGTCGATTACTCTAACTTTAGTGCTTCAAAGCGAAGCGTTTGTACCACTGGCGGGGACGCGAGCTGGAAAAAGAGATGACTTCGGCTGCAAAAAGGTAAATATTTTGTTTCGCGGTGTTGACTAATTGTTATTTCCATGGCTGTAGAAATATCATAACTCATAGAATTTATGCCAAGCTTTACCATTAAGCATTAATTCATTCCTTGCATGCACGAAGAATTATAGGTCCTCGACGTCCATTTCGAAAATTTAGTGGTTCCCCTTTGTTTTAGAGGAGAGTAGTAACAGTGTTAACAGTACAAAAGTTTCAAATGTAGCTATGCTCAAAGAAAATTGTGGCCTACAAATAAAGTTTAAAGGAGCCAGATTTCAACAAGCCAGAGTTACAAAAAACAGTAGATGTTATTAGGTCATTTGAAGACACGAACTCGAACAGTTGCAACATTTTGATTAATAAATAGATTAATAATGGTAATAGGACTGAGTGGAGTCCAATTCGGTCTGTAATCATACGACTGATTAAAAAAATCGGACTACCGCTTCGCGGTAGTCCGATTTGTTAATCATGAGTATGATTACAGACTGAATTGGACGACACGATGTCCTGTTACCAATTAATCATAACAATTACAATTTCCCACAAAAGTAAAAGTTTCATTTGAAAAAGAACTTTTAATAGTCATTTTTAAATATCATAATTATAAAATATGGAGAACAACTTGCAAAATGGCTGTCAAGTCTCTTTCAAAACAGTCACCTGAGACTAAACCTCCACAGTTTTACAGTCTCTTGAATTGGTTAGTATAGTGATTGTAATCAATGTTGTGATTGGTGGATTTAGTGGAGAGGACTTAAAATCATTGGCTCATATAACTGTCCGATTACAACTTTGTAGATTAATTAGAGCAAAATACAGCAGCTTATGCACCAATCACATTTGAGGAAATTGTAATTGTTATGATTAATAGATTAATAGATTAATTCACTTAATCGTTGGTTGATGAATTGCTGGAAATATGTAATATAAAATCACTACAAAAGTCTATATTTTGATGTAAATGAAAAATGACACGTTTAAAGCTTAAAATGTTACTGAGATGTTACTGACGTCTGCTATAGATGAGTGGACTGTTTTGTGAATAAAAAAGGGAAATGGCTTTTCATTTTGTTTTGTCATTTATTTTCTTTTCCAACAGCAACTGGCCGTCATCAAGAGTTTCTGTGACGCGGTCTTACCATGTCAATCAGGAGCAAGTAAGCGCACAGACGACTTCTCCTTCCAAAAGACTGGTGACTAATAGAATCAATGACGTATATAATGAAGACACTGATGCCTGATGGTCAATGAGGACTACATAAATCTGTTAAATAATTTTTAAGACTGTGTCATAATGCTTGTCTAGTAAAGTGTGAGCATGCTATCGGTCATGGTAATAAACAAATACAGATTAACAATAATGTGCTCAAGGTGGTTCTAGTGGTTTTAGTGGTTTTAGTCCAGAAAATTTTAAAAACGCGCTTAAATTTACACTTGAAAATAAAAGGTAATTATCTGCAGTGTTGCCAACACCTCACCGAGTTTGCGACCTTAGCTCATTACCTGCTGATAATTCCTGTACTTAAAGGTTGAAAAATAATCCGAATATGGTCATTCACTGTCAGAATCTTTAGACAACAAAATGACAAAACTAAGTCACGAAATAAAGTAATGCAGTGTCTTTAGCCCTTTATCTAGGGTTCTTTTCTTTCTTCCTTTACAAGGACAGACTCATCCGTTTTCAATCTTGCCTTACAAAAACAGCACTAAAGCTATAGCGGTCAAACTATGTGACTTTTCCTACAAATTCTCAGGGAACATGTCACAACTGTTTCGTCACAGGACACGAGTTTCCTATTGGAACCGTGTCTAGGGGTGTTTTACCTACATTTGGTGGTTTTTAAGCTTACATTTCTGTTTTACTTCGAATTTAGATTTTCCAATTCTTTACATATGTTATACTTCTACATTTTTGGGGGCTGGTCCAAATTACTTGAAAAAGATTTGAAATCCAAGATGGCGGACACAAAATGGCTGATACCTTTTATTAGTTGCATCATTTTGGCTTTTTGCGACGTCATGATTGACACGTAATTTCACTTATGAAAACAATTTCGGATATTTTACGTACCATATAAGTTTGAATACTTTTGGAGATACAAGAGGGGTGATGGCCACAAACTCCCAGCCTCCGAAACGAAAAACCAAAGCACAGGCCAAAGATAATAAGGTTAAAAATAACTACTTCATTCCTCCCTGAAAGTAGTTAGGGCGCGTTGCACTTAAAACGTTACTCTATCAGTTGGATGAATAATGAAGTCAATGAAGGAGTCCAGGTGACAATAGAGGATGGAGGGTTGGAGATGAAATCTGCCAAATGGGTGTTATTCCTAAGGCAAGCCCACTTAGGTTGTCTCTAAAGCACTATTCCAAGCGTGAGGGCTCGAACTTTCCTCAGATGGAGAGTCCAATCGGCTTCACATCCATTTTCATCCGTAAAGAAAACGTTTCCGCGTAGTAACATTATCTACGGAAAAATCTACATGGACACCACAGCTAGAAATAAATTGAGAGCTAGGGATGGCGTTGAGAATAAGTCTTACAGGGGGGCTCAATTAGCGCTCTTGCCCTTCATCTTCTCTTGCCGTTATAAATAACGACAAAGACAATAATAATTGCGTTCGACGAAGTGGAACGCAAACCTAATTTTGACCTGTGGCTTTTCAGAGTTGGCAACCCTATGCACGGTTCTAGGCCGAAAAAAACCACATTCCTGTAAGGACACCAAAATGGCCACCCCGCTTGATTTTTGCACGGGTATGTCACGGCCAGTAAACTGGTACCGTTTAATGCTAAGACATGTGATAAGACATGTGCTGAACATGTGAGTATGTGAGCAGGCCATCTGAGCTCGTCTTTCCGATGGAT